ACCTAAAGGTTTACTTTTTTTTTTCTTTTTTTTCTTTTTTTTCCTTTTCTTTTCTTTTTTCTTCTTTTTTTTTAAAAAAAAATTAGTATGAGCGCTCGTCATGCTCAACCCCGAGCGCACCGTAGCTCCGGCGACCTCCGGGCCGCTGTTGCCCGGCTCCGACGTAAATCGGCCGACCGTCCGACGCGGAGTCGGGGGGGGCAGCATCTCGTCAATTAGCCCTGCAAATGGCGCGCAAGCAGGGGCGCGACCGCGGCCGGGTACCTGGCTCGCTCTCTTCCTGGTGGAAGGCTTGGCAAAGAGCAAAAAGGTGCTCAAGCTGTCCAAGTCTTTTGTCACGCGGCTGGTCGCCTCTGGTTTGGGGAGTTTGCCTAGGTGTGGCGCTTGTCCCCCTGGGCTGATTGATTTCTTCATATCGTGCAATACTGGATCCCAATGTCGTCGAAAACTTATATCAAGACATCTTGTCTCAGCTGGGCTGCGTACTCAATATATGCGGTAAGGTCTTGTAGATGCTACCACCCATGATGCAAGTGTCGGAACACGGCCCCGCCATCCGGCCGCCATCCGGCCGCGACCCGGCGCTGCCATGCCCATGCTCTACCACGTCTACGACTTGGAAATCCTCCATCACTTTGTTGTTCTATCTGCACCTCATTCTAGATTGTGTCTTATGCCGCATCATTTGTATCGAATGCTTAATCATTTCCGTATTATTGACACCGTTATATCAGCAGGGGAGCACGTTGAAGTCGCTTACCGTCGGATCGCGGCCGCATTGGAAAACCGGCACTTTGCCGAGCCAAGCACGCCATTTGGATCGACTGGCTTGACATTGCTCATTAATCTTCTATATCAGAGCAAATCATCCCACATATAAGACGCATCTAGCTCTCTGGTCAGCTCTGGGGTACATCGCAAGTTGCTTACCTTTGCTTCTCGGCCCCAGTTTCTCAAAACCCAATGTCGACTCCAACTAGCCAGAGCGGCGAAGAAGCCATCACGCCCCGGCCACGAGGCCGCTGCTCCTTTCTGAGCGACCCCTGGACCCAAATCATCATAGTCTCCTTCATCTCGTTTTGCAACCCGGGCATGTACAATGCCCTCACTGGCATGGGCGGATCCGGGCAGGTCGACGGAACCGTGGCCGCCAACGCCAACGTCGCCACGCACGCCTGCACCGCCGGCGCCGCCCTGCTGCTCGTGGGCACCTTGTACCGGCACCTCGGCCCGCGCGCGTCGCTGGCCCTCGGCGGCTGGACCTATGCCCTGTACGCCGGCGCGCTCCTGCACTATACCCGGACCGGCAACGGAGCCTTTGTGGTTGCGGCGGGCGCGCTGCTCGGCGTCGGCGCCGCGTTTTTCTGGGTCGCGCAGGGGACCGTCATGGTCACGTACACGACGGACCGCACACGAGGACGCGCGATTGGCCTGTTTTGGGTCATTTTCAACCTCGGCGGTGCGGTGGGCTCCCTGGCCAGCTTTGGCCTCAACTTTCGTTCCGAGTCGGCCACGGTCACGGACTCGACGTACATTGCGTACATTGTCGTGATGCTGTTTGGATGGGCCCTCTCAGGGCTTGTCGTCTCGGCCGAACAGCTATCGGACAAGTATACCGGCACCAGGATGATGATGCGCGAGGCGAAGCAGCAGGTGACGTGGGCAAACATGCGAGACACGCTGGCGGAAACGACACGAGTGGTGCTGAGCTGGAGGAATCTGTGCTTGTACCCCATGTTCTTCACCGCCAATGTCTTTTACTCGTATCAGCAAAACAATGTCAATGGCTCGACCTTTACGCTGCGAACCAGATCCCTCAACGGGGCCCTGTACTGGATGGCGCAGATGCTCGGCGGCCTGCTCATGGGCATCGTCCTCGATTCCGGCTACTTGCAAAGGCCAGCCCGCGCGCGAGCCGGCTGGCTGCTGTTGCTGGTGTCGGGCATGGCGATTTGGGGCGGAGGCTACCGCTTCCAGCTGTGGAACGATGCGCGGATGCGCCTCGGCCACAAGCAAGACATCGACTACACGGACGGCGGCGTCTTTCTCGGCCCCATGTTCCTCTACATCTTGTACGGGGCGTACGACTCGTTTTGGCAGGCGTTTTGCTACTGGATTATCGGCGCACAGTCGCGCAGCGCCGTGGTCAACGCGGTCGTGGTCGGCGCGTACTCGGCGCTGAAGCCGGCGGGGGGCGCCATGGCCTGGCGGATCAATGCGCAGGGGTACTCGGCCATGACGCAGCTGGCCATGAACTGGGGATTGACGGTGGCAAGTCTGTTGGTGGCTGTTCCTACGGTTCTTGTCACTGGAAAAGAGCCTCCTCCTTCTGAGGCTGATTCCTCTGTAGTGGAGGAGGAGGTTGGGGAAGAGAAGCTTTAGCTGGCCTAATCGTGATGCATAATTAGAAGAACGGCATTTTCTGTAGTTTGTAAACAGTGAACAATCAGTCGACTATCTACCAACATGCACAAGATGGCTAGTAAGCGTAATTGAGTATAGTGCAAGTTGTTCAAGTATGAAGAATGGGTGATGAATGTCAAAGTGAAGGAAAGCAAAATAGCTGAGCAGATCATGAGACTTGGTATATAGTAGTCACGTAAGAGTGTGTTATCGCATTATGGAAAAAGGTCATCAAGATGTTTCCGAAAAGCTGCTCTATCGTGGTTGGCAAGCTCATGTTAGAGTGCGTCTGCAAAACCCATGATACCTCCCCCCTCCTAAACTCCCACAAATGCTTGACGCCCAGATCTCTCTGGCGACTGATTAAAAATACCGTACAACTCCCCCAAAAAGGACCGTGTAGCGTCGAGCCACGGCTGCTCTCCCGCAACCCTCTGGCAAGCATCATTGCAGACTGCGTGATTCTTGCCACCCCACACGACGAACCCATCCACATCCTCATGTCCCTCTAGCGCTCTCAGCTGACTCTGCCAGAGACTGACTGGATAAAACGCAAACGGGCTGTTGTGGTACTGCGGCCACACAAACGGCCAGACGGGCAGCGCGCCATCAATCGCTTTGCTCTGCGCAAGCACCGTCCCCAGCCTCTCGCGCCACTCGTCGAAACTGCCGGAAAACGTATACGCCGACGGAAAAAGCGCGTGGCTGCTGTGGTTGGCAATCAGCTTCCTGTAGTGGCCAAACAGCGCCGGCGGCGTGTTGCCCGCGAGCCCGTACCAGCCAATGATTTGGCCCCCCCCCTCCCGCGGGAGCACGGCGGCCGCCCACGTCTGCAGCGTCTGCATCGTGGCGAGATTGGCGTCTGCCGTCGCGGCCGATTTCAGGTAAATGTTTTCGCAGTCGAGCACGAGGGGGTAGCCCGGGTGCACGGCCCACTGCGTGACGATGCGCTGCCAGGCCTGCTGCGTCGGCAGGGCGCCGTCGGCGACGAGCGGGTTGCAGACGTAGGCGGGGATCCAGTTGATGTGGGAGGTGCCGAAGCCAATGGTGGTGTTGGTGTAGGCGGTGCTGTCAAAGACGAAGAAGGGCGAGGCGCTGGCGAGCCTGGAAATGGCCAAGATGGCAGCCAGAAAAGGAAGCATTGGTGCGTGAGGTAGGAGATGGGGGAGATGGGGAGATGGGGAGATGGGGAGATGGGGAGGTGCTGTGGACATGTAAGAATGGCTATAAGCTCTAATTATGTTTTTTTTCTAATATATGGGGCACTCTGATAAGCTCATTCGAATTCCAAAGTCTCAGTTAGCATCATACAAAGTACATTATGAGGCAAGTTAATGACGTGAGCCCCTGCAGCGGGGTTGCGGACCGCGGATCGGATCGCGGATCGGATCGCGGCCGGGCGGGCGGGCGGGCCCGCGGGCGATTTCTGGAAAGCGGTTGAGGACGCTGAAAGACGCGCGCAAAGGACGGAGAGGCGCAAGATGAACGCTCTGCAGCTTTTGACGCAGATTCTCTAACATGATTAGTACGTGTGCCATGGTTCGGCTGGGCAAGACGTATCGGAGGGCGGGGTCTCATGGTTGATGTCTGGGTCAGTAATGACAAGTTGCGCGCGCTCTAGAGGGAGGAGAATCGTCCGCAAAAAGTCTGTCAAAGGGCAAAGATTGCAAGAAAATCACCTCTACTCAGCCCCAAAACTGATAGCGAGGTAGGGTTGGGATGACGCTACAACTTGTCCGCCTCAAATGGAAGCTCGTTGCCATTACAGCAGCACAGCCATGGCAGCCACGACAATGACACCAAGAGGTTTCATGGAAGCAGCTCCGGCGACCGTAAGAGGCCGCCAACCACTGGGAGGTGTCCCACAAGGCGAGGCTTTGGGCCCAGAGGGCTTGGTACCACTAGGAGCGCCGGGGCTTCCGCTCTTCTGGCAGGGTGGTCGGGCCATTGTACAGATTTTTGCTGCCCTGGTACTAATCATACCCAAGGCATCTGTTCAAATCGAGACCACAGCCCATCTGAGGAGGGGCAGGCACGGTCCGGTAGCAGCTCTGGAACTGGGAACCAACACTTGGCGGCGCACTCGTCAGGCTGACCAGAAGCCTTGGGGAAACGATCGGAGAGAGGGCGAGGGGGACGACCCCGGTGGGCTCAGAACCGCTGGGAGTACCGGGGCTTCTGCTTTTCTGACAGTTAGTTGGGGCGCTTGTTCAGATTCTTTGTATGTATATATTGCGCCGAATGGCTCACAGAGCCTTGCGGTACCTCTATAGATCTATGTACGACTAGAAAATAGCAAAACCCCTAAACCTTATGTACAAACCTATACCCCACCTGTTTTAGCCTAACCTAGAGCCGACTTCTTTAGGCTCTTGTTGCCATCTTTGATCGCCAGCAAGGTTGTAGTAGATGTATAGATCTACGTGTGGCTTCTGAGTCTTCTTAGCTGCTCTTGCAGATTTCAGTGAGGGCAGCAACCGTGCAGCTCGGGAGGATGGCCTTCATACGCTCAGTCATTTCCGTATCCTCATCCTCCTTCAACTGGTCGCAGAGGCTCGTCTTGGTAATCCTGCTGTTGTCCAACTCCGTGCTGCACTTCCGGACAGCGGCGGCATCGAGGGGGGCAGCGGCGGCGTCGACGGGAGCAGCGGGCTTCTGGGTGCAGAAGCTCGGCTTGACAGGCTCGCTGCTGTCCACCTCCGTGTCCGGCTTCTGGGCCTTGACAGGCTCGCTCTTGTCCACCTCCGTGTCCGACTTCTGCTCTTCGGCCTCCTTCAAGCCGCTGTTCGCCTTCAGACGTTCGGACAGGCACCAACAATCGCCAGCTGCCACAACCAACCCATCGGCGTCCGGCTCCCCTTTCCCGGGCTCGGCGGGGTCACAGACGCACCCATTCACCGCATTAGGCTTGCTCTTGGTATACGCCTTCAGGCTATCCGTCTCCAGGACGAGAACGCCCGTCGTGGCACACTTGCATTCTGCATCTCTGACAGTGCTGTAAGTTTTTCCTTCGTAATTCCAATTGCAGTCGGCAGTGACGTTGCCGCCAGTACACGTGCACGGTAAGACGGATGTGATGGTGTCGGTGGCGAAGCTCTTGATGATGCATTCGGGCGCAGGGCCGTCCCTGTCCGTCACGGCAGTCGCGTTGTAAGCTCCGGTCCACTGGCTGGCGACGGATACAACCGCCAAGGACAGGACGGAAAGGACTCGAGGGTTGATGGTGAAGCTCATGATGAAGCACTGTAGTAGGTTGCCGTAGTAGGTTACTGTAGGAGATTGCTGTAGTAGGTAGACTTATTTGCTAGACTAAAGAGATGTTAATTGCTGGTATGATTTTGGTAATAAGGAGAGTCCTGACTGTCTTTATATACCTTTGAAATATATAAGAGTAAATAACTTATGTTAGTAGCATAGTTAGCAATCTTATTTTATCTCTTCTCACCGTAATCTCCCCTACTAATCTTATATCATGCGTAAGAAATAAATGGCATATAGCTGCCTTGTATATTGCGTCCTTAAAAAGAGACGTTGGGGGCAAGAAAAGCAGCACGCGCGTGGAACCGTACGTCTCTCTATGTGTCATGTGTTGGTGTGAGGCGCTGACACGTAACACTATGTGCATATAAATTCGGCATCTCCAAATAATTTGGGTCCTCCCGGTACCTCTTGGCATTATCTCACCGATTCATCGCGTGCTGAAACTTGGCCTGGCATTACTCGCGAGCACCTAGTAGCTCAAACGTGGTCGAGAGAGAGTTCAAGTAGGGCAAAGTGTGATAAATGTTTTAAAGGCGGTAAGTGGCGCCTGTACATGCAAAGTACGAGCCATGACTACGCTTAATATAGAAGAAGAGAAGAACAAGAACAAGAGAAGAAGACCAAAAGCGCTAGCTAATAGTTACAACCGCCATGGCAGCTTCGGCCCTAACCGCCACGCAGGAGCGTGTCAACTACAATAACGACGCCCCGTAGCAGTTACATAAAGGCACATAGCTAGCAAGACGGTAAGGCTTGGGGCGTGAGCAATAAGACGCGTACGTCAATTATTGTTATTATAACGGCAGCGTATTATCTATCAGTAGTGCAGAGGTCTAGCAGCAGCGGCTGTAGAGGTCTAGGGCCGGGCTGTGGAGGTCTAACGGCGGCGGCCACGACAACTGCTATAGTAGGTATCAAAAAGTAACGGTAAAAAAAGAAAAAGATTTACTATAGTCACCCACAAAAAGCTACTACTTTAATAGATTATAGTTAATAAAGGAAATTAGTTATACCAAAAAACTTAAATCTATAGTAGATTTTTAGTAGTTAATTATTATACTTAGAAGAATTTTCTATATCTTTTAAATAAATAAAGAAAAAAGACATTAAAGTAAGAGAAAATTAAAAAAAAAGTTATAGTATACTTATAAGGGCTTATAGTAGATAGAGAGTTTTAAAAATCTTTACTTTAACTTTAAATATTAATAGAAAAAGGATATAACCTAATAAAAGTATAAAAGTACTTCTTTATTAAAGAAGAAAAGAAATTCTATAAACTATAATTTATATAGAATTTTAAAATAAGTATATATTTTAACTATTTATCTTAAATAATATCAGTTTTAATACTAAAGTAGCTCAAAGTAGAGACTACTTATACCTTACTATACGTTAACTATATATAAATTAATAAGTAAATAGATTAGATTTACATTACTTTTACATTGAAGAAAAATATTAATTAAATTCAAGTGTTTTTTATCAAGTGATTAGCACATAAAGAAATTATATTCTACTAATATAGTATAATATAGAGTAAAATATAAATATAAATGCTTTAATAGTAAAGAATTACTTTAGAAAAGTGGCACTAATAGTACACCGTAAACCTGGCCTCGCGTAGACTTGTGGCTTCTTGCATTCGCTTCTGTTCTTGGCAATGTTTCAATGCTGCTGTTGTTGCTGAAACCCCATCTCCATATAAGAACCCATCGTCTAGGATCCGGGCTGCAGGAAGCCTCTCGAAGGCTGTACTCTAATTTCCCTTTTTAGAAGTCATCTTCGCAGTTCCTCTCATTTTTGCTTGTGCAGTTTGCAATCTCGCAACTCTCCTCCTACAACACAGCTAAAATAGACGGGGCTGTTAGCACGCACCCGGGTGATAAAACAGACCGCCGGTGCTTAAGCAGACGTGTTAGTAATAGTAATGTATTTCGTAACGCATAATATGTTCTAAAATCTAAAATAAATATAATAAAATACTTTATATTATTCTCTATATAGTAGATATCTTAAGTAAGGATATACTCTTTTATATTATTATCTTTTTCTATTATTAAGAAAAAGTCCTACTCCGTGTGCCGGCGACATGTTTTATCACCCGCGGGGCACGCTATCAGCTGCTTGCCTAAACTACACCTTGTGTGGTAGCGCTTGCTAAGGTTCTATCAGCCACAGAATCGAATGACTCACACATACAGGAATGATATTAGAAGAGTCGGCCTACTTCTGTATGCATAACCGCGAGTCGTGCAGTTGTCCCGCCGCGTGTAGCTCAGCAGGACCTATAGGTACCACGAGTAGCGCGAGTCGTTCCGTTCTAAGCAAAACTGTTCATCTCATCAGCTTTCCGAAGGGTCCAGCAAATCACTCTCTTCACTAGCCAGGGCGTACATTGTAGTTGCTTTGAAAATCAGCTGATAACGCCTGCTTTGCAATATCCATGCAATGTTGTAGACAAAAACAGTAATGACTCTACAAGTACTGCTAGCATAGTATTACAATAAATTATCATCCTTGCGAGAGACCGAAGTAGACATTCAAGGGGTTAATGCACAAATTAACAAATACACAGCTTACATTCTTATGTCTAAATACTCCAATTTACATATTAGATACTTGTAACCCGCTGTGCTTTCTTACCCCAAGAAATATCTCTAAACCTTTATCTACTCTTGACATAAAATGCGTGTTACTGTTTCTACGGCTGTGCTGCCTCTAGGTTATTGCTATTCCTTCAGTCCAAACTCCCGAATATGCCTCTACAAATCTGACCTCTTAAGTAGTTATTCTAGCTAATACTAACCGCGACGGCAAGGTTAATATTAAAGGTATATCAGATCTAGGTAAAGGAAAATAAACTTAGATAAATAAGTCTAGAGCTCTATTTCTTCCTAATATTAGGGATACCTCTAACTAATATTATAACCTATATAATAATAAGCCTTTACTATTAAATTATAATAATACTTCTAATAACGTCTAATAGGCTCTAAAGTATATAGCCCTTTTTTATATAATTCTAATTAATAGCCTTAGTATGTTTATAGTTAGTAGAATCTCTATCTTAGACCTTATTATATACTAGAACGTATATATCTTTTAACTAAAGGTATCCCTAGAGTCTAAAGAGGAGTAGGCAGATAACTAGATAATTATTAATAATAATATAACCTTTTCTATAGAAGAGCTTACTAAAGGACTCTAGCTAGGAATTAATACCTATGCCACGCGCGGCCACCTAGTTAATATAACGAGTAATGCTAAAACTAATATACCTTAGACGTAGGATAGAAGAGTAATAGTTTATTTTTCTATTATAGATAAAGAGATAAATTTAATTAACTTAGTTATATTATATATTACTCTTTTACTTATATAAAATTATCTATAACTAGTTATAAAGGTTTTTATATTTATATATAATAAGAATATAGAGATATTTAATAGAATTATAGTAGGCGTAAAAAAGGCTAGTATTAATAAGCTTATATAGGAAATTATAAGAGCTAGTAACTTTATCTAAGATCTTATTAAAATAATATATACTAGTATTCTTAGACTAGATAACTCTATTATTAGCCTACCTATTATCCTACTAGTACCTATAAATAGCCTTATAAGCTAGGCGCTAATAAGGGTAATAATATAAATTTATTTTACTAGAGTTAGTATAGTAGTAGATATACTAGCTCCTAAGATAAATAAGGAGATATTAGATTTTATAGGGAATCTAGAGATGATCCTACTATATAAGTATAATAGTAAGAAATTCCCTATAAGAAGGATTATTATAGGCATTAACTAAACTATAGGAAGAGTGCTATATATATTACCTCTTCTTAAGGCCTAGGAGATATAGGACCTAATCCTTATAGACTTAACGTGGCTTAAGGTTTAGCACGTTAATAAGTTTATCTAGTTCCTACTAGCTAAGTCACCACGTAAATAGAGCGTTATAGTAGCTAATCTATTAACAGCTATTAAGATTCTAGAGGAGGCTAAGGTAGAGGGCCACGGCAATAAGCCGTATATAAGCCAGCCTAAGACCTAATAATTTAGGCCTTCTATAGTAAATAGGATATTTAAGATTAGAGTTAAAGAAGTAAATAAGGAGTATATAAGATATATTATAAGCACTATTAAAATACTTAAATATAAGACTAGTATTTTAGATAATAAGATTTTCTAGGTTCTAGTTCTCTATAGTAGAATAACTAAACCTAGTTATCCCTCTAATAGGGACTTTTAGGTTCATGCCCTATATCCTAACGCTCTTAACGGCCTTATCTTAATTAACTTATTCTACCTAGCGCTAAAGCAGTGGGGTCTACTAAACACTGTGGTTATAGATACTATGTAGTAGGCTGTTAAAGATGCGTACACAAAGGCCGGGTTTAATGTTAAGTTTATAGACGACTAGCATTACCATCTTCGTAAGGGAGACATTTATTGCCTTACAAATGTTTTGCGCGAAATACCCGGCTCTCAAGCTGCAGGTGCCTAGAGCTCCTCCCCAGCATCTGGGGGTCTCGGGACGCCTCACGAATTTGATTATATTTAGCTGATAACCATCGTTGTCAATCATGTTCTTACAACGTATTAGATATATCAGTTTATACGAGCATGTGCATGACCAAAGGTTACAGAAAAAAAAAAGTGTAAATAAAAGCAATGCCCATCAAGGCGTGACCGTCTCTGGAGGAAGAGTCCTGACATAAACCACCGGCCCCTCATACTGGTGCGTTCCACGGAAAAAGTAGTAAATGACGGAAAAGATTGCAATGCCACCATAAATCACAACATTCCAGTTCATCTGCGCCGCCGTCGGGTTCGGGTTTGGTGGCATAAACGCCAGAATAAAGATGACAATCAGAAACGCCTCCGAGGCAATGTTGATGGCAAGTCCCCAGCGGCCGAGGCTAAACTTGGAGCGCAGCAGCGGACTGCCGGTTGCGCGGCGCCAGATCATGCACCCGATGGACACGATGTAGCTCGACAGGATGGATGTGGTGGCCAGCGATGTGATGGAGTTGAGCGCGACAGCGGAGCCAATGTTGATGAGCGCGAGCAGGCTGGAGATGAGGAACGTGGTGAGGATGGCGTTAATGGGCACGTCCCAGCCGGCGGGCACGCTGGCAAACCATGGGCTAAAGGGCACGGCGCGGTCGCGCGCAAACGCAAAGAGCTGGCGCGAGGCGGTCGCGACCATGGTCAGGTTGGAGAAGACGGTCATGGCGACGATGAAGACGGACATGGCGGTGGCGCTGCGCGCGGAGCCGGTCGCGTTGAGGAAGACGGCCATGAAGGGGAAGCCGGTCGGTGAGGTCACGACAGCTTCGAGGTCGCCGATGCAGAAGCACAGCGTAATGACCATGATCCAGCCAAACGCACCGTTGAAGATGGTCGTCATGATCATGGACCGCGGCAGTGTGCGGCCGGCGTCGCGCAGCTCCTCCGACATGTGCACCGCCGCGTCCGCGCCGAGCAGCGGGAGCACGCCCGCGAGGATGCCAACAAGCGCCGAGCCGCCGAGACTGCCCCAGCCACCGCCGTCGCTGAACTCGGTAAAAACGGCGGCGGCGTCGGCGCGCGGCGACAGCACCCAGAGCGCGACGAGTATGCCAAAGAAGCCAAAGACGTGGATGATGAGCACGAGGGCCTCGACGAGGGGCAGCTTGCGCGCGAGCAGCGTGTTGAAGAGCACGGAGAAGGCAGCGACGGCGACAGCGAGCAGCGTGCCGTGCCAGGGCTGCGGGACGTAGTCGGGTCTGTTGAGCACGAGCAGGCCCTGGATCTGCGTGCCGGCGATAAAAGCCGACGAGGCGCACGACGTCTGCCATCCGAGGACGCACATCCACCCGATGAGGTAGCTGAGCAGCTTCTGGTGCTTGGGAGGCGCGAACTCGGACACCCAGTGGTACTGGCCGCCAGAGGTGGGTGCCCTGCGAGATGTGTTAGCCCAGACGGCAGAAATGGTTGGGGGACGGAAGGATGTTGGGGGAGGGGGACACTTACATGGATGCCATCTCGGCCATGGACGTGTTGACCACAAAGAAGCCCATCCAGCAGACGAAGAACATCCAGATGAGACCGGCAGTACCTCCGTTGACGAGACCAATGGTGGCGACACTGCGCGATAGATGTTAGTCGTTGACGAGCAAGGCATCGTGGTGGATGCTCACCTCAAGCTAAATTCCCACGAGGCCATGAGAATCATGGAAAAGCCCAGGATGGACAGAAAGCGAAAGTTTCTCTTTGATTCTCATCAGTACAAGCTCCTCCACGCGAAGCAACTTCAAGGTCAGCAAAGTTCTGCACTCACCCTCATCTCTTGGGCTTTGCCCATGCGGTACATGTCGAGACGATCGCCCGCATTACCATTTTTCTCGTCCACGCCCTCAGCACACACGCCGGCGTCAAGCACTTTGTCGTCAGTCGTCCCCATCCTGCGCGTCGTCAATGACTGTGCGAAGACGAATGGAGAGGAAATGTGATTTGAAGAAGAGCAAGCCAAGAAAACTTGAAAGATCTGGGACAAGAAAAGATGAGAGCCTGCCACAGAAAGGGATTATCCGCTTTTCGATGGAAAAAACTGGAAATGGCGTCCCATCTGTCCGGTTCACATCTGCAAGCCATTCTACAAACTATCAGCCTAGGACCCAATGCTCCCCGTTCCAGTATGTGGATCAAATGGCAATATTCTGGCGGATATTTTTCAGGTCCCGAGATTGAAAAGCGAGGCAATGCCCCTGCGGGAGAGCGTGCCGTCGGGTTTGGCGACTCATGTCATGTGTGAATGGGGAAGGAGGGTCACTAAGAGGTACCTGTTCATAGGCTGCGAAGAATTTGAAAGACCGATCAAATGGAGAATCCGCGGGCTGCAGGTAATAAGGGGGAGGGTATGGGTTCCTCGTTGTGAGCCTCCAAGGATATCATCGAAGACTATAGCCCGCGTGTACTTAATACTCCGTGCTTGGCAGCGGGCCGCAGACCCTCCTCTCTCCTTCTTCTCGGACGAAATTCTTCTCGGACGAAAGCGCTCTTGGAAAGACCGCGGCGTAGAACGTGCTGGTATCAATGCAAGAGAATTGATTTCCAATTCAGTGAACATTCGTTCGTTGAAAAGAAGCCCCCAAACAATTCGATCTCATTTGGGGGCTGCCGCCGCTACCGCTGCCGCCGCCGCACAAGACTTACGAAGTGTCGGGCGAAAATATCGTAGCCCTGTCTGGTACATTTTTTGCTGCAGAAATTGACCCTTGTTCGATGACAGGGTTCTAACCCGGCAGGCATGGGTGCTCGCAGCCCTGCAAGTACTTCGATCTTCCTTGCTGGTACCTTCTAGCATACGCAAAAGCATTCGACACAGAACGGCGGAAAAGGAAGTGCTAGAATAAACTAGTCGTAAAAACTAGCTTATTAGCTTCGTTTGTCACTGGTGGAGGCAGGTAACGTTCCGTAACGTTAGTCGGCCAGCATGGGTCTTGGCCCCGACAGCCTCTTTGGCCAATTGCAGTCAAGACCGCCAAATTTTCCCAGACTCGCTCCTTCTTTTATTAGTAGAGCCTTGTAATGGGTCGTCTTTTGCAAATATCGCGCCTTCGATGAGAATTTTCCGCGATTTGTGCTCGCTCGAGGTGCTGTGTGTCGCTCGACGCTATAATCCATGATGGTACGTTTCCAATGCGGGTGAGTAGCAGTGCATACAAGCTGCTCCTCCCGCCATGGTCAACGAGGGTTATTCTCTTCTTGATGAGGAAAAGGATAGATGAGAACGTCGCAATGTCCAAGTCCGCAGCGGTTCCATAAGACTTTTCCTCCGAGCTTCTTCGCCTAATTTCTTTAAGGGCCCGCCTTCGCTGTTCCACAGTCCCGGAAAGGCGGCCCCTCTGCAGCTTGCAAGTATGTCGTAAGAGATAGAATACCCCTGCAACCAATGTTGTGTAGTTATCAGGCTCGTCGGGGAACTCCAGGATTATCAGCTTGTGTGAGGTTGGTCGAGGCCGGAGGGCGAATTCATCTTCAACTGATCCTCTTTTCCATCCCTCCTCTCCTCACAATGATCAATCCCGCAAAGTGAATTCGATCGCTTGCATACCATGCAAGTACAAACGTTTGGTGACGGACCGCGCTTCTCGCCCGTTACCTCGAGCGACCATGCTGGGCAGCTGTGGATTGTAACCATCCTGGCGCTCGTCTACAGCACGCTCGTCAGCACGGCGAGGGCATACGTCAAGTACAAGATGTTTGGGATAGACGACATCCTCATCGCTTTCGCAACAGTACGCGCATTCAAACTCGGTTTTGGCCGTCGAAATTTGAAAAATCTGACTGTAGCTTTCGTGTTAGATTTTGCAACTCGCACAATGTATTGCCATCTTTGTGGGACTGGGAACTGGTGGCCTTGGCAAGTTCAACTCCATCACGACGCCGGCGCAATGGGCGACGTCTTCCAAAGTACGTGCACAACGGCAAGCGACAACGCATTTGGCGGCTGACATTTTGCGATGCAGTCAACATTAGCGGCCATTATTCTAGGCTTTCTGACGATGTGCCTGTCGAAATGTTCGCTCCTCGCTCTTGTACTCCGAATCATCGGCCGAAAGACGGGCAAGAGCAGGCCCATCTGCATCGCCATGATGGTTGTGAGCGCGCTGTGGGGAGTGGGATCTTGCGTGGCGTACCTATCAAACTGTCGAGCTGATACGCTATTGACACCGGACAACATTACACAATGTCCAGGTCAGGTAGGAAGAGTCTGTCCAGAAACAGCAGCCATCAGCTAACCGGGGCCGTTTGCCATGTGTAGGAAACACGATGGGCAGTTATCACGGCGATTGACATATTCACCGAAGTTGCTGCCTGGCTGCTGATGGTGGAGCTGACCTGGAACGTCAACATGTCGGCCGCGCGCAAGCTCCAAGTCATCATGGCATTTTCCTTTCGGCTGCCGCTCGCCGTCCTCGCCGGCCTCCACCTGTTCTACTTTCACCGTTACCCGTCGGCTGCCGAGCCGCAGTTCGCCGTCATTGACAGCCTACTCTTCCAGCAGGCCATGATCTCGTGGTCCCTCATCTCAGCGACGGTACCGAACCTCAAGAATTTTCTCAAATCTTTTTCGCTTGGCATGGGATTCCCGCTGGCGTACGACGACACCATGACCGGCTCTGGCGGCGCGTACGCGATGCGATCTTTTGCTAATAGTCGCTCCAAGGGAACGGCAGTAGGGGCGGGCAACACGGGGGTTGTGTCGACGACCATCTCGGCAAGACGGAGGTCGGACGCCGGATTACCTGCTCAGCCGTCGCAGCAGGGTTGGCCGGCGGAGGGTGTGCTGTCAGGGCCGGCGGAGGGTGTGCTGTCAGGGCAGGCGACGGAGGGGCAGTCGTATGCGACGAGCAGCAGGGAGCACGTGGATGAGGACGCAAGCTCCAGGACGGGGAGCCAAGACATGATTATCAGCAAGGAGATTGCTTGGAAGATAACTTATGAAGATCGGTCCTAGGGGACGTGTTTTGAGCGTGGAAAGTATATGACTGTTTGGGCGTGGCAGTATCGTCAGCACAGTCTTTGCCAGACTCTGTAGATTCACAAATAAGGCACAACACGACGTAGAATCTATCAAAAGTTGATCCCATTGTGTCAAGCAACCTTGCTAAGACTTGAAGGCGAAGTTGGAGCTCAGCAAACGGAGTGGAGAGCTCGGTGTTGAGAGCCGAATCCTGAGTTGTGGTTCTCGGAGTGCGATTCCGTGCCACTCCTGTGGGTTCCAACACGTCTGACCTATCAGAAAAATGATAGGACCAATAGTCGAAAAGAAAGGTCATCTGGATGTGGCCTTTGGACGTGGCTGGACGGGAACTTGGAAGCGGGAAGTGGAAGATGGGTCGAGGCCTTGCATCCACCAAAGACGACCTACGTTGCTACGGTGGGTGCGTGGCGCGTGTACCTAATAACTGGGGCCTGGACTGGACCCCTAAAATCGCCTGCCCTGAGAGGGACCGTCGCACCGTAGGAACTCGGAACAACCGCCACCGACCATTTTTTTATGTATTCAATAGTTGTCAAGTAATTTTCATATTAAGGTAGGTAATAGTCAAAACTGGGCATACTGTCTAACTTACTTATCCACGTAACTTACTTATCAACTACGTTATAGGTTGATATATATTTGCTTCCCGAAGTTCCCGTCCATCCACCAACACCCACCCCGGACCTAGCTGTGGACCATAACTAGACAGCATTGAGCAAAAGGCCGTTCGGAGAAATTCTGCCCCCTCTCTACTAATCATCTATGCCAACAATGAACATAAGGCGAAAAAGCATAATGTGGCGGCCCGCGCCATGGCGGTAGCGCCCCCGGTGAATTGAGAGTCAAAGGTTGCGCCGTCCCTGGATTCACAGACTCTTTTTGTGCCTCCCCCCCCCCCCCCCAATCGTCATGATGCCTGACATTACCATCCGCGACGCTCACTACGCGGAGCTTCCCGAGATGGCGCGCCTCATGGCCGCCGCCTTTCGGGACGACAACCTGTTTGGCGCGCACATCCACCCCCACCGCGGCCAGCACCCCGACGACATGCACCTCTACTGGCTGCGTCGCCTGCGCGTCAATTTCTGGGACTGGCGCTACGTCTTCCTCGTTGCCGTCCGCCAGACCGACGACCCCTCCTCCTCCTCTGCCACCGGCCCGGAGGAGCTCATTGTCGGCGTCGCTTTGTGGACGCGCCTCGGCGACGGCGGGCGGGCTCTTGAGCTCTGGCCTTTTGATCCCCGTACGTCCCAAAGGCTCCCCCTGGCCCTCCCTAACAAAGAAAGCCCCTCAAACTAACAAAAAGGCTGGCAGGAAACTTGATGAAGCCGCTATCAGCAACCGCCATGGCGCTGCATGCCTACCTCTGGCCGAACCGCGCTGCGGACCCCGCGCGGGAAGACGCCATTGAGCGCGCGTACCCGTGCTTTGGCCCGCCCGCGTGGGCGGGCGCCCGCGCCGAGTCGTGGTACCTGGACGTGCTGGCCGTGCACCCGGAGCGGCAGGGCGGCGGCGTCGGGCGGCGGCTGGTGGCATGGGGCTTGGAGCGCGCGCAGCGAGACGGCGTGGTGGCGTCGGTGGTGAGCGCGTGGAAGATGGACGGCTTCTACGAGCGCTGCGGGTTCAACGAGCAGCACGGCAACGCGACGAGCGGCAAAGGGAACCCGCTCAAGGGCATCGATGGGGGCAACATGTTCTGGCGATGGCCCGAAGAAAGAACGAGTGAGCTGACAAGAGGCAATGGTCGCTTGAAAGGTGATAGATAGTTGGGATACTCGACAGCTTGAGATCTGCTTCAAACATCATGGATCAAGTTCTGATTCTATATCTCTAAATATACCATAGCATTATACAATTCAACCCCCTTCACAGCATGCTCTACTCTCTGCCATCCAGTCACTCGCCCGCCTCCAGCTCCGCGAGGTAGTACTCCGACTCCAGCGCCGCCTTGCAGGCATACATGCTAAGAGGAGGCGGATATCAGAGGAGACGCAGGATACCGACGCGGATGATGACTATTATGAGGACGAAATCGCCCTGGGAAAACCCCTACTTGACAAGTAAGATTTTACAATAGGCAAGCACTAAAACGAAGATGTCATTTCCAAGAACATTAATTCAACAACAACCCTTGCCCAGAAAAAAGCCAAGAAAAAGCTCCAATGGTAGGCTGCAGCTTGAGGTCAGAATAAACACACGGCGCTGTAAGCCGATTCATACACCCGCGTTTCCACGAACTCAGTCAGTGCTTTGCAATAAAACATGCACAACATCACCAGGACACCTGAGCGCCAAATCCCAAGAAAGCAACGCCAATGTAAAAGTCCGAGAGGAAATATATAATCGCTCAGAAAAAACGGAAGGAATGATTGAAGAAAAGCAATCGATGTACCGTGCATCACGCGCTATGTTGAGGCTCGACTGCTTCGATGCGATCGGCATCGTCAGTCGTTACGGCCTGCCCCACGGGCCGGAGGCGCGATACGGAATTTCGCGACATGGAATCCTGCGACCATCCAATGGGCATGTTGGAGAGTCGGCGAGTGCTATAGCTGCTATCACTGCGCACACGGTTGACAATAACGGGCATGTTCTCAATAGCCTGGTCGCTGACGCGAGAGCTGCGGTTACTCACTTCGCCCGCGGTGGGCTGAATAGTCTTTTCATTCAACGGAGAGCTGCGGCGGTTTTCTGCCGCTCCCGCACCCAAAATACCAGCCCCGGCGGCCGTTTCACTAGTCAGGGCAGACTTGAAATTGGCCATGGATCCCTTGAACTGGGCCATCAATTTCTTGTCCGACGTCTCGTCAAAGAGTAGCCATACGATTGCGCCAGCGAGGCCGCCCAAGATGGCCAGAGTGATGAATGCGGCGGCAGCTTTCATTGCGGCGGTTGGCGGGGCAAACGTTGCGACTGGATCCTTTCTACCAATATCGCCAGAGCCTGCATTGACATCGCCCTTGCTGGTGCCGCCCGTATCGGCCGTCAGTGGGGGTTCGCGATTCTTGATCATGGTGGATAGAAGAACTTCCAAAGCGGCCATCTGCTGACCAACACCGGTGGATCCGTCATATTTGCCCTCGTTCCTCGCCCATTTCAAGCCGCACATTCTCCCATTGCTGCCTCCGACGCATTGATTGATGGCAGCCTTGGCAGAGGCCTTGAGGTAGGGGATGACAGTGTCGTACGTGTCGGGGGCCCATTTGGTAGCAGCGGCGAGCCAGCGAGACAGATACGCCTTGAATGATTGCTGATCAATATTGCAGCGGTCGACGGGTTCGCAGGCAACCTCGGACATGATGTCTTCATTGTCGCCAACGAAGAATACTTTGGAGCCCCATATGAGGCCATCGAGTCGGTCCTTCCAGGCTTTGGATTCGGTGTAGTTATACATGGCGGCTGCACCTAGAATGAAGCCGCCGGCATTGTAAGTAAACTGGTATGGGCTGTAAGAGCTGCAGTTGCTGCCAATGTCGGCGCCGTCAATGACATAGTAGGTTTCGTTGTTGATGAATCCCGTCGACCACATCCAATCCCAAGTCTTTTCGGCCCAGTCGGCATATGTTTTGTTCCCGGTGTAGAGAGCGAGTCGCGCACCGAGCGCAAAGAAGCAGGCCTGAGAAATTGAGTTCTTCAAAGGGTTAGGACGCATCAGTTGTAACGTCAGTTGGCGTGTCATGAACCTACTTTGTAATCGTAGCCTTTGTTCCATTGGTAAATCTGCCAGCGCAGACCACCATTACAGTCGGCTGTATCCCATCGGGCGGCCTGTGTGTTGAAGACGGCCTGTGCGAGTTCGAGCCACTGGGGTTTGTCGGCTGACGGGTTCGGAAAGTTGTACTCGGCGGCTGACATGACACTCAGGCCCCAGAAGCCTTGATCATCGTTACCTTCAGTCAGAGTTTGGTTATTTGGCATGTAATCCCTATTGGTGCCAACCTGGAAGAGCAGGCCATCCGTGACGAGCTGATTGTACTCGTCGTCTCCCGTGTAGTACCAGTAGTCAATGAGGGAGCCCAACATGGCACCGGCTTCCCACCCTGTTTCAAATCATCAATAACGGCCAGGCAATGGGCGACTGGAAAGCAACGAACAATAGTATGGTGGGTTGAGCAAGCCTGGCGTGCCTCCAGGTTTGTCGCCAGTGTAAAAGGAAAGCATGTCTTGAGCGAGACCCTTGGCGGTATCTTTTATTGATTCTATGTGTCTCATGATTAGCATATATAGGGGGGACCAGGAATTGGGCCAGAACATACTCTCAGAGGTGAGATCGAGGTTGTAGCCAGAAGCGGAGACGATGGGACCAGCAACAAGCAGCGAGGCTGCGATGAGGCGACCAAGCTGCGAACATCTGGACATGAAGGCAAACATGTCGATTTCAGCAGAACTGTAGTCGAGCCGTGTTTATGTGTGTATTTGAGAAGCGAATGGGAACTGTGTTAAAAAAAAAAAATTGGGGGGCAGAGATGGGCCCATGGGCGAAAGAGGTGGTTCAAGACGAGGTAAGCCAAGCGTAAAGGGCCTAAAGCTTGTTAATCGGGGTGGCTGTGGCAAGCTGGTGTACACGCCGTCGAAGGGCTTGTTTTTTTAGCTGAGATCAAAGTAATCAGGAGAGGCATGCGTTGGTGAAGTAGAGACCGAAAAGATGAGATATGTCGCGGGAGAAGAGAAAGAGGAGTTTGCTGGAACTGGTGTGGACGGGAAAGAAGCAAAGCCGGCATCAGAAATCAGACGATGGGCTGGCGGCTGGATGTTTGGGCAGGCAGTGGCAGCCGTGGGATGGTGGCAGTGGGAGGGAGAATGGAGGTGGCAGTGGGGAAGAGAGCCAACTAAAAGTACGAGGTCAAGAGTGGACAGCGAAAGCGGCACGGTACTGGAGCTAATAACTGGCTAATTAGGTAGTTAATAAGTTGGTGAATAGATTCTGGTTGGTAATAGATGCAATTTAGCTACGCCGTACGGAGTAAGTACCTAGGCAAGGTCCGAAGACAACGCACCGTTCCCAGCCAACAGACCATGATGGCGCCGAAATGACAGGGATCCAGGCCGATCCGGGGACCCAAGCCAGGCTGAAAGCGATGGATATGAGGGGCTCCTGCATGTAGGTTTGGTGATGAATCCATTCGGCGCGCTCGTTGGGTAGGAAGAAAACATGGCAGAATAAACATGGGCAGAATAAACATGGACGAAAAATCACGGCGGCTAGGCCTACTATTTACTAACCCCAGTTTTTAACCTTGTTGGCATGGTGTACATGGGAAAATTGAGACTCCATGGCATTTGCATTTGGTTGCAATCAAAACTGTCAGGCTAGTGCGGCTACTGCCGTACCTAAAAATACCAAGGATCAGCATGTTACAGCCAACAGAGCGCTGAGTGAACAAACAGAACAGCCGCCCAGCCATCACCAGCTCCCGCTTCAGATAGTCTCGACGAATTCAAGCATAGCATAATGTGTTTTTTTTTTT